ATTTTCTTGAGTTTGGTTTAAAATCTTGTCAAACTTAATGAAAGAAAATACATAATAAGGAATGTTGGAATCATTAGGCAAACTCTGAACAGTCTTACGATTGAAAACAATCTTGTATTTATGTGTGATTGGCTTATAAGGATTTTCATTCAAAGAAACACCAAATTTTGAAATTGTATAAACTCCTCCTTTAATAAAAGCATCATGTAAATGCAAAGAAACCCTAAGAGTTGTTTGAATCCTCCCCCCCGAACAAAACATGTAAAACTAATACAAGTAAGAAATCTTCAAAGACAAACTCAGAATACCTGATGAAAAGGCAAACTCAAAAACACAAAATACTTACCCGTTCATCCAAAAGAAGCATTTCAATATTATCACCTAGTTTTGGCTACCAAAAATTCTTCTATTTCCAAAGCCTAATTACTCTAACCTTTACCCACCATTGCTCTTTAGAAAAATTATGATCTTTAATAAAATCGAACATCTTAGCCATTAGGATCTGTATGCTTTCTGTGATACTAAGAAAAAAAAAGATTGGTATAACATTATATATGCATGTAAAAGAGACTCTTCAAATGACAAACATTTATTAGATAGATTATGAAGAAAAATTGAAAAAATAAAAGTCTGCAGAATTTGATATTAATGAATGAATGTAAATTGCCAGCACATTGGAAATATAAGACAAAAAGGAGGCATTACATACTAGATTAGGCAAACTAACAGTTTTATTGGTATGTAGTAGATAATAAATTTTGGAAATGCAACAAACAAGAAATAGTAGAATGTAGTAGATTATAAATATTGGAATGCAACATGCTATAAATATCGGAATGCAGTAGACTATGAATAGGCTATATAGAGAAAATTCAATAATAAATATGAATATTTCAAATTTAATAAAAAAAAGTAGCAAAAAAACCATCACTTGATAGTTAGAAATAATTTTTCCATTCACCACATATTGACCATTTTCAAGTTAAACCTCTGAAAAAATTCAAACTATTGCAATCCATTTAATAGAAGATAGTTTCACCTATGAAATAAAAGAATTAAGGACAGTATTAAGCTTTTCAATAGACCGTCTAGCAAATTCTACCAAACCAACCTAGCCTTTGAATGGAATAGAAGCAAGAACCCTATAAAATACACTATGTCGATTAGTGGTGGCCAAAACTAGATAATCCCCACCATCATAAGTATGTCTAACTTGCAAAATAAGTCACATTACTATTAACTTTTTTCACATCCTCTCTTGGGTGCTGGAGAAAAAGGTATGTTTTTTTGATTCTAAATAAAAATGGGAAAAGGAAATTCTAGGATTTTATACCAATTCCTCAATTGCCAAACATAAAAAGACATGCCTTGCCTCTGATTTTGGATTTCAGTCTAGGAACTATTAACTGAAGATTGGTCCTCACAAACAATAATGAAGTGAGCCTTTGATGGCGTTGAGGACTTCTTGTTGACCATTGCTACACAAGGTATCTAGAGACGCTCCTTCTTGGCTTTGATGGTGGCTTTGTCCAGACCTCATCAATTGACATATTTTTGGATACTTGATGAAATTACATTTTGGTGAAGGGTTTAAAGAGGATAAGGGATTGGGTGTCTAAAATTTGAGGGAGTTTAGGGAGGTTTTTGGAGGGTTTAAGGTTGTTCTCACTTCCTAATTCTTAGTTCCTACTCTAGTAAGACAATTTAGGTTTCGATTTGTTTCTTAATTAAGAGGCTAAGGAATGGTGGACTGGAGAAGGAGGTGGCATAAAAGCACTTAGCAGCAATGGGTTCCAACATGTAAATGGTTTGTCAACCATGGGCTTCAACAAGGAAGAAGCTCCGGTAGCCATGGCAAGGAAGGAGCTTCAGCAGCAATGATGAAGAAATGGGATTTCATAGGTTTAAAGCCAATTGTCATCCCTATACTTTTAAATTTTATTTATTCTCATCCCTCTACTAAGGATTTGTTTATTGTCATCCCTCTACTCCACCAAAGAGCCAAACGTCATCCCTCTACTCATCTTTTTTGGTTCATTGTCATCCTTTTCCTAACATCATTCATGTTGTTGTCATTGCTAACTGTTAATTCCTAAACGATCAACAATTAATGGATTTGTTTAACAATTTTTTTCACCTATGCTAACTAGTGGGGACCACCTTTCCACATGTGCCACCACCCAATCAAATAAAAATGACTCTCTTTGTCATCTATCCCTCGACATATTCCCCCAAATGCTTTGTAGAAACCATACGCCCAAATTCATTTAAATTTTAATTAACAAGATAACAATGAGTGATATAATAAACTTCTCACTAATAAAAAAAAAAGTTAGTATATAACTAACACCACAAAATAGCATTGCAAAGTTCAGACCAAGAAACAAAAAGAAAGAAAAAACAACATAACATAACATAACATAAATGTGTCAAGTTCGAATGAACTATCAAATTAAAATTTCAAAATACAAAAATATAATTTGGAATTTATGGGCAAGAAAAGAGTATCATAGAAAGAAAAAGTAATGGCTTACTTCACCCTTTCGAAATTAAGACTAATTTTTTTAGCCTTATCTTGCCTTATAAAAAAAAAAAAGGAAAAAAAAAACTCAGAATTCAACTAATTAGATATTTACTCACCAACAAAGTGTAATTACTAAAACAACATCAAAATTAAGATTTAAAATACTAATATCAATTCTTCCTTATTAGAAATAGCAACAATATATTTACTCACTTTTTCTTCCTATCTCTCTCTTATTTGGTCTCTCTTTCCTATCTCTTTCATCATTCACTTTTTCTTCTTTTCCCTCTCTTATTTTGTTCTCTCACAAATCACAAATTCTACTACAGGTTTATTTCTTTTCTTGCCCTTATTTTTGTATCCCAAGCCACTTCAATGTAAAAAAATTATGGAGTGTCATAACTCAAATTTTTATCAAAAACAAAAAAATCAAAAATATAAAAATATGAAAATTTCCCTTTCCTTTGACTAATATATCTTTATTTTGTTTCAGGTGCTACATGCAAAAAGAACTTGGAAAATTCTAGAAGAAGAAAGAAGGGACTCAATTGAAGAAATTAAAAGTTGGAGGGGTGAAGTTCATCAAAATGAATTTACAAACCCAAACCCAAAACCCATCAAACCCAAGCCCAAAATCCCAATACCCCTTTAACTCAAACCCAAACCCAAAAAAACCATAAAAAAAAAAAACAAGCCCACTACCCAAACCCATTAACCAAAAAAAAAGAAGGGAGGACGGACGGAATCTTCAAAAACCAACCTTAGCCCTCTCTCTCTTCCAAAACCGGCAACATGCCAAGAAGAAGGAAGAGGGCTGCAGAGCAGAAAAACAGAAAAGGGGAAAGATCTCCTGCCCTGCGCGCCTGCACCAGCCTGCTTCCCTGCCCCCTGCCCTGCACCCTCTGCTGCGCCTTGTCCCTGCGCCTGCACCGAGCCCGCGCCCAGATCCCCTTTGCCCTGCGCCGTTGACCTTGCTTGCTGCACCGAGCACGCGACCCTGCATCAGCCTGCGTCCCTGCACAGGCCCTGCACCAGCCCTGCACTTTCCTCTTTGCGCCCCTGCGCCTCAAAACCCCGATCTCTGCGCAGACCTGTTTTAGGTGACTTGTTCCACCTTATAATTTGGACGAGTGGCGACTCCCCTTTTCTTATATATTTCACACTTAATTTTTCATTTGTTTTGAAATTTTTAAGTGGTCGTCAACAGTTTGGCGACTCCACTGGGGACAGAACCCAGAATCTTTGGTTTCCATATTCTGGGTTCACGAGGGTCGAGCTAATACTTTAACTTTGGGAAATTTTTCAGCTTTTGATTTTTTTTTTTTTTGTTTTGTGTTTGTTAAGTCTTTGTGGGTCTTTGCTATTTATTGTATGTGTTTGTTGTGTGTTGCTTGTTGTTTGTTTGCTCATTGTGGTTGCTTTGATCTTTTGTCTTTGAGTAGTTACCTTGCTACATCTTCACATGCATCATACCTTGCTTACATGTTCATACATCATGTCATTTCACATGCTCATCCATCATTGATATTATATGCTTATTCATCATGCATCATGCCAATATGCCTACTTGTTTGTGTGTGGATATAATCACCTTTTACACTTGGTTGTGGAGTACTTAGTGAGTCTCTTCCCTCTTGTGCGATTATTTATATCTTGTTGCATGCTAAGTGTTGGTTGCTTTGTGTTACTAACCTTTTGCATTTGGCATGGGAGTACTAGGTGAGTCCCTTCCTTCTGTGTAATTAGGTTTGTTTGTGGGTGATATATTTGTTGAGTGTTTTATATGCTTTATTTGATTACCATGGGATATATGTTGCTATTTTTGTGGTTGCCATTATGCAGGATATTGGAGTGTCATGCCCCTTGCACACACTCACTCTCATTTTGCATTAGGTCCGTGTCAGAGGTGAACCCGACCTCTAGTCTGGAATCCTTACAAATTTGGCTTGGAAGAGCAATTCTTCCCGCTTTGAGGAGTAAGATCGGTTCCCATTAGGTTGTTTCCATTGGTTAATACGACACTTGATGATGTAATATCATTCTGTGTATTAGCTTTTGGAAATATCTCCCGTTGATTCCGAAAGGATAAATGGTTGAGAAGGCCTAATGCCCTTTAGGAAAACATGTATTGACCTTAGAGAGATACCAACCCTAAGACATGTTTCCCTTAGTATCTCACCCGTGAGGCTAGGCGTCCCGTGTTTAAGACACAAAAGGGGCATTTTTCTTTACTAACTTTGTCTCCGCATATGACAGGTTTTTGTTCTTATATACATTTGAGGTATGATTAGTTATTCATCTTCTGCATTTAGACATCATTCTTGAGGTAAGGAGCATTCCATGCACTTGGTATCTTCACTTTCAACCCCATGCATCAAAAAAAAAAAGAAGAAGAAGAAGAAAAAGTTCATGATTGTTTCACATGTCATATATCCATCCCATTCATTTCACATTAAATCTTCCATATGTCTTGAAAATTTCATGTATGTCCATTGTATTGCATTTTCCATCTCATGCATCACAAAACATGTTTTCATATTCATCTTATGTGACATTCTCCATTTTTGTTCATTTTAAATTTCATTTTTCATCTCATGTTTCAAAAAAAAAAAAATTTGCAAAAAAAAAAAAGAAGTAAAATTCCACCCATGTTTAGTACATTACATGTTCCATCTCATATAAAAATTGCACAAAAAAATCTCATTCACATGCATTTTGCGTTGCATTTTCTATCTCAAATTTTCCTTCCAAGCATTATTATCTCCATCTCATGATTCTCATATTTCATAAAAGTTGCATAAAAAAAAATTAAAAATTAAAAATGGTGAAAAATGAAAAAAATGAAAATTTTATTCATAGAGCTAGTTTTCCTCTCATATTTCTTTATCTCATCCTTTTCACATTTTGCAAACAAAAAAAAGGGGGGGGGGCATGAAAATGAAAATTTCTTCCATGTTCATTTCGCATTCCCTTTTTCATCACATATTTCATTTCAACTATCACTATTTCCATTTCATAGTTCAAAAACAAGTGCATAAAAATGAAAATGGAAATTTCATTCACATGCATTTTGCACTGCATTTCACATTTTTGAAAAAAAAAGAAGAAAAAAAAGAAAAAAAGAGGTTCTTCCAAGATAAATTATGAAAAGTCCATCTTTTAGACATCAAAATAATTTGAGCACATGATTTTGGAGCATCACATCATCCATTTTCTCCAAGTATCACACCATTCACTTTTTCTTCAAGCTTCATGGCATTTGCTTTCTTTTCAAAGGAATGATATTTCCTATGAACATCGATTTAACGGGCAGCAGCAGTGAATCACCAGCTTTTCCTTTGAAATTTGCTTGGCAAAATGCATGCTTTAGGATACAACTCCACACACATTATCACTTTAGAGTATCTTCATGTTCCTTCATCCTTTATCCATTGTTTGACATCCATGTTTGACATCCATGTTTATTTCTTTTCTTGCATTCCCATAATCTTGTTTGATTCTCTGCCTTCAACAATTGAAATATGAATTCATACATGGTCAAGTGCGATTCTTCGTCAGTCAAGACACTTTTGAAATATTCATCTATGGAGAAAGCTTTGACCAACAAAGGATTCAAGAAATCTCCAATTGCAAGCGTTTCTTTCCTATCATTCACAATTGCCAAGTCTAGGGGGCAAGCTTAGAAGGACAAGAACCAAGAGCAGCCTCAAAGATCAAAAGCTTAAGCACATCACACTTCATGTTGCTCTAACAATCAAGGAAAAGAATGGAACTTCTGATTAGATAGTTGTACTTTGAAAGATCTAGGAGTCAGATTTTACTAGGGATTGGAATGCTACCATGTTGATGTACTTAGTGTGATGTACTAGGCTTCTACTTTATAATGAATGGCCATCTTTGTAATGCATGTTGAATTGCTTGTAAGTGTCTTTTCTATAGCCCTTGGAGTCTATGGAAATCTCAAGGTGTTCAAAGATATATTGCTTCATCCGAGTCTCCTTAAGGATTAGAAATCGACAATGTGTGAATCCATATGGCAATTGTTGAAGCACTAAATCATGCAAAATTATGGGATGACTTCTAACATTATTCTGACTTTGTTTATTTTTCTTTTACTTTTGTTTGTAGGTAGGTTTCATAAACTACTTCAAGAACAAAAACAAAAAAATCAAGCATGATAGTCTCCCTATGTTTCCTCACTCTTTGGAGCAATGCATCATCCATCTAGAAGGCAACCTTCAACATACTCTTATAAGCTCACCAAGATATGATGTTGAAGTGGACTTACACACAAGACATGTGGATATAGATTCAATGAATGATGGGGCAAATCTAGGACATGGGGAAATTTGAGTATTATTGCTCTTAAGGATGAACCCCTATTTGACCTGACCATTACTTCTGCCTTGGGGGCACTTTGGCCAATTGGATAGTCAAGCTTTTCTCTGCTTCATTCATCCATGAGTAAAATAAGTCAACTTTCTAATAGCTCAGCTTGTGGCTACATGAAAGGAGAGAATAACAAGCTCTTTTATATTCTTTGAAATATTTGCTATCATGCTAATTAGTTTTCCAATCTTTACAATTCAGTCTCACATGTTGCCATATTACCATCCATTAAACTTGATGCAACTATTCTTATTAATCATTGTCCAAACCATCATTCACCATTGAGACATCATTTGATTCCATTAATATGCCAAAAAAAACAAAAAAACAAAAAAATTACTTGCATATATATGCTTTCATCATATGCTATTACTTATCCAAATTTCTCTTTGCTTTCAGGCTTTGCTAATGATGAATCTGAATACAATGATGCCATTTCAAGATTGGTATATGTTTCAAATGATCCAAATCCATGTCGAGGAAGATGTTGGTGATCTAGATTCTTCCCTTGAACTAATTGATGTGTTGCAAAATAAAGGCCAAGTTGCAGTCAAATGTGATGGCCTCATACAAGAAGAAAGAAAAAAGAGAAAGAAAGAGAGAATAAGGAAATCTTGCTAACTTAAGTTGAATGATTGTCCTCATTTTGAGGTCTAAAGTGAAAAGCTCAAGGATCAAAGGCCATCTGTCATGAACCTAATTCCCAAACACTTTACCTAAAAGTGTCATCCTTTTGTCAACTGAGTTGAGCCTAAAATGAAAAAGTGAGCCTTTTCTTTCATACTTATCCCAAAAACTGGGGAATATAGTTACATGCCTAATTGGGGCAA